GAGTAGCCTGATTCAATTTAGTAAATTTTTTTTATTCAAGCCTACAGAAAGATAATTGTATCTTTAATATCTCGAATTATCAGTATTTTTGATGTAAAAAATAATTTAGAATTAAAATTATACCTCGATATAATATTCTGATAATTCGATGTATTAAAAATATTACCTTTAGATACCCTTGAATGGTTAAAAATTAAATGAAAAAAAATCCCTAACCAGATACATTATTCGTTTCATCTCACTATAGAAAATAATTGCTTCATTTTTATATGCTCATTATTATTTTTATGCCCGAGATTTATAAGTGCATTTTTGTTTTTGGTAATTTTCCGTAATGCCTTCTTTATCCGTCTAAATATTATTTATGCTATTAAAACATGAAACAGCGTAACATAGGTGTTTGTCACAGGCAGGCTCTCGGGAAAAAGAAACGTTCGCTGTTTGATGTACCAATTTATTGCATGTATACGATGTAATATAATACAATATTTGTAGACTAATATAATCATATATTTAATGAATCTTAAGTTAACTAGGTGAACCAATAAGCATAGTCGATAATTAAGAAAAAAAAAAGGGATGAGACGTGAGTTTCGAACTTGAGATTCTCGGACGTTAATCCAGCATCAAGCACGTACGCTACCGAGCCATTGTGCTGTACAAATTGGAAACTTTATATTTCTCTAGTTACCCACGTTTGAGGGTTTGTTGAAAGATTATTTGCTCACTCTATTATTTACAAAGCTTCATATGGATATTAAGGGAATTAACATCGGCAAAATTTACTACCTCATTGCTACGGTTTATGTAATATGCAGTAAGAAAGGGTGGATTCAAGTCTCCCTATTTGAGTGTTCACCCGGTTTAAAATCGTGGATCTCGAGGAACACACGAATTCATTCGACCAATCAAAAACGTGGAACTAGTTCGAGAGTCTCGTTCAGGTGGCGGGTCGACGCGCCAAAACACAACTCCAGATTATCACGCGTAGAATTACTATATATACACGACCAATCAAAAACGTGGAACTGCTTCGAGGGCCCTCCGCTAAGGTGGCGCGCCGAAACCAGAGAAAAATTGAGACCACCAAAAACAGGCTCATTGGCAATCTCCCTACTCATCTCTGCCTTTACTCTAGTCTCTATGATCCCAGCTTAAACTTTTTCAGAGACTGTACAATGTGTGATAGAGACAACCTGCTACACTGACCTGTGTCTGCTATCTGTCTCTACGTGGCCTTCACCAGTGCTGTACGTATTCCAGTATGGCTAGTGTTCAGTGATCGCGCGACACTACCTTAACTAATATGATGTAGCTTGCATTAATCTCTTCAATATTTGATTCAATAAATAAAAGAAAAGTGACTCCCGTATCTACCGTTATCAAAAGCGAAAAAAAGAATATGTGCTTTGTGTGCTCGTCAAAAAATGGTAAAGTTATTTACACTGTAAATGTTAGTAAGAATATTGATGTATACAATATTTCTAATAAGGTAATTGGACTGTTTTAGGCAATTTTTATGAAAGATGTGGAATTACCAAATATTATTCCTAAGTTGCTGCTGGAGAAGCATGTTAACTACCTAATTTCATATGGAATGAATAAGGACGATTATGTATGTTAATAGTGAGAAGGCACAACCCTTTTTCTATCTGACGATATGTTTTTGGATAATCCAAATGTGAAGTGATAGTTTTTATATTTAATTTTCTTCTTAAATATTTTTTAATTCTTTCAGACATACTGTATGACAGAACACATACGAATGTCAGGTATTTATTGGGGCCTTACTGCTCTTGATCTCATGGGTCAGCTGGAATGTACAAGTAAAACCGAAGTCCTTGAGTTTATTGAGAAGTGTCAAAATGATTGCGGAGGCATTAGTGGCAGTATAAATCATGATCCTCACTTACTCTATACCTTGAGTGCTGTCCAAATATTAAGCATGTACGATGCTTTGGATGTCATTGATGTGGAGAAGGTTGTCAAGTATGTGAAAGACAGACAGCAACCTAATGGCAGTTTTACTGGAGATATATGGGGTGAAGTGGATACCCGATTTTCATTCTGTGCAGTTGCCACTCTTTCACTCTTGGTATGGTATTTGCAATTGCAGCTTGTTATTTATATATTAATCAACCATCTATTTTTAGGGACGTTTGGATGCAATTGATGTTAACAAAGCTGTTAAATTTGTAATCAGTTGTATGAATTTTGATGGTGGTTTTGGTTCGAAACCGGGTTCAGAAAGTCATGCAGGTCTCATTTATTGCTGCCTTGGGTTTCTTTCAATAACAGGTAACAGTTCTCTCGACTTCGATATGGTGGCTTTTGTGCAATTTTCCACCTCAATTGAGAATATTATACTATTTTGCTGCTATTTTAAGGACATCTTCACGAAGTTGATGCCGATCGACTTAGTTGGTGGCTCTGCGAAAGACAATTACCTTCTGGCGGTCTAAACGGGCGTCCAGAGAAACTTCCGGATGTATGTTACTCCTGGTGGGTCCTTTCCTCACTCGCGATTCTAGGTCGGCTTCATTGGATCGACAAAAAACAACTAGTAAGATACGCATTGGTTAAAAATCATATTTAAAAAACTTTCTACATTTCATTGTGTACCTATTTTCAGGTGGATTTCGTCTTAGCTTGTCAGGATGTAGAGACTGGAGGTTTCAGTGATCGTCCTGGAGACATGGTAGATCCTTTTCATACACTTTTTGGACTTACTGCAATTTCACTCCTAAATGCTGATGTTACGCTTAAGCCTATCAATCCAACGTACTGTATGCCACAATATATTGTCGACCGTCTCGGTTTGAAACCGTGTCGTCTTAATAGATGATCTTTGTGCGTGCCTTATGAAATGAAACAATCTGGTTATACTGCGTGTACAAACGCGCCTCTACTATGAATATCCGTGTAAATTGCACTAAAGCACTTCCTTCTTACTGACTTAACAATACACTAAAAATTACAAACAGATATATGAATAAAATGAAATTTTCTTGTTTATATATGTCTATCCCCTTGGTTTCACTCGATTCTTCTGAGTGGTGCTGCTCGGTCTAACAGGCGGAAAATTAATACAAATTTAATAATTTTTCGATTTGAAAAGATTCAATGAATGTTGATTTAGAAAGGTAGTTAGGATGATTCGTTGATTAGATTTTCCGGTATTAATTCTTACGTCCACGCGTTACATCGGCCCCGTCTTTGACTGTATTTTTTGCTAGAGCTATTTACTGTAAATCTGATTTTGGTAAGTAAAAGACACTATATTTTTTTATTTCCTAAGGTCGGTACTGCGTCTACGCGATTTGGTAGTTGGTCCAGCAGGTAAATAATCAGAAGGAATAGAAATTAGGTGCCAGGCCACTTTCCAATTGATATTAGGTGTATTGTTGTGTGAGTCTAGTATGGCATACTGGTATATGTAAGAACGAATTTTAACTATATGATCTGATTGTTTCTTTGGTCGGGTATTCTTGACCCATTTTATGTAAGCTTAGTATTCTTGATATGAATAAACTGTCGTATCCATAGGCGATAGGTCGATTCATAGGCGTACCCCAATAATTTCCACTAAAATTTCAACTGCTCCTTGGTTTACGAATTCCGGGGAAGTAGCGCTGATTCAGTGATGTTGTTTGTATGGATCCTCAATCCAGATAAAGTTGTGACGGGGTTTAATAAATGATAGTAGTAATGATGTTTATAAAACTCTAAGAATAGAATCACCAGGAATGCTTCACTTACTTGCTTTCAATAATGATTAACAAGCAGAGAGAATTGTTGAACAAAAGATCTTTGTTCAAGAATAAAAATTAGAATAATTCATATTAGACAAAGAATACTGACTTTAATCAAGAACAATGACTGACTAGATGAAAAAGCTGCTCATTGAGTCTCTACAATTCTATTTAACGACTCTGTTTCTTAACCCTTCCATTATTTCGTCTGAATTTGATTGGTCTTTAATTCCCTTTCTTATTAATTAGTAGACAAATCAGAACACTAACTGTTCTAAAAATTATCTGTCTGTTACTGCATACCTGAGTCTTTCAATTCTGTACCTGAAACCTCGTGAGTACTGCTGGTCTCGGGGAGTTTCAGGTTTATCTTTTATTTGAAGACATAATAAGGATTAGTATGACAAATTCCTTTTAAACATGATGCATGATAAAATAAATAATGATTTGTGTAACAGTTTCGAATCGTAAAAAAGATAATATAATTCATAAATTGCGGATTTCAGGGTGATGTGAGCGGAATATAAAACAAAGCATGAATGCAAATTGATGAGTATAAACCATAAGGACTGCTTATACAGACGATTGATCGACTGATGTACTTGTGTGGTACTTTCGGTAAAGATAAATATGTATGAGCTGGGGTATAACAATCACAGTATTTGATATCCAAAGGATATCCTAATTTGGCTGTCGATATCCACAGAATATCCAGAAGATCTCCTCAATATCTAAATTGATATCCATAAGATATCTAAAGTTTCCACTTGTGGATATTCTGTGGATATTCTGCAATTTCTCTGTAAATTCAGACATTTTTTAAGTACGTATATCAGAAATGATAATGCATCTTAACACTAAACATACCGACAATTTCTTATAAACGTATTTTTGGCTTTAAAACGGTCAAATGACCAGTTGATGGTACGTTTAGTGTTAAATATAAAATTAGTAGATGGCAAGATCATTAAGTAGTTTATGCTGCATTAACATATTTTTCAGTTTTCATTCTCGTGTCAAAGCGCTCAAATTCGAATCAAATCAGATTCTTGGTGGGAAATGTACGTGCAATGCATCCTTAAATTCATGATAATTGTTGGGAAAACCATTTGTTATTAAGCCATATAAGAAGGTTATCGTTTAATTCATATTCTTCCCTAATAAGTTGGTGACGATAGAAAACGATTCGATTCCTATCACGCATTTTCATATTAATACATATAAAAATATGATTCATACAGAATCATATAGCATCATATACGTAATAGAACGTGAATTTTATATTACCATAGATAGACGTACTGCTTATATGAAAATACATATAGGTATAGATTAAATTTCTATCGTATTATTACGATAAAGCAACAACCTGATAGGTTCAGATTTCATTAGATAGAAACTCTATCATCATTTCAACTTGATGTAGATAGCACTGATAGAAAAAAATTGAAATTGGCAATTAGTTTTATCGTTTCTTATCGAATTCTATCGTATTTTTTAGCAGGGATCTGTAGGATGTTCATAACTGAATATAGATATCAAGTGGATATTCACTTTCGATATCGTTGACATCTTATGGATATAAAATGCTGTGTAGGTTGGGGCTATGCGTATAAGTGGCTGTGCACACGTATAAGTGGGCGAATGATGTGTAACAGGAGGACTGAGACGTAACAGTATATGTATAGCGAACGAAATTCAGTATCTACCTTCAATCAGCTATCCTTGGGCGATATAAACATCCTTGCTTACCTGAATAGAACATAATGGGTTGACTGCACAGAAATGATTTTTCCGACCTTTTAAACCGAGCAGGTTTAAAGGTCGTTTTAAATCGAGTGGGTTTAAACAAAATTTCCGTAAGCATACCACAAGGTTTTGGCCAAGTTCATATTACCTTACGGGGTTACGGACGGACGCTGATTGATCTACAGCTGACGTTATGCTTATTGAAATTTTGTGTGCAATAACCCTTTCTTTGTACTTCTTATGGAATGCCATTTTATAACAGTCGTTACGTCACACATAGCCTTTAGACTGGATACTCATAAAGGCGCCAGCATTCGAATGTCGTACGTTAATTGGTAAATGTCAGGTGGTGGGATAAAAATGGTCATTTTCCACCAGTCAAAGTCTCACGTTCGAGCGATGGAACTTATACGAGGATCCGGTCTTACAACGTACTGTAGTTTTGTCACTTTTAAGGGGTGACAAATTATTTATTTTAAAACCATTTATCGGGTCAAAAAATACAATTTCTTTTGCGTAAATCAATACTATAATATGTTAAGAATATGTTCCCAAAGTTACAAATTGAAATTCGAAATATAATGACCTGTATTGACTATTTTTAATGTACTTTTTTCTACGAGTTATTCATGTTGAAAACTTTAAACGCATTTTTCTCGAAATCATTTTTTTGACTACTGTGAAAAACGGCGTAGGCAATAACTTTAAAACTATTCAACTGACAATATTGTACTTTTGCACACTTATAGTTTATTAGTTCCTCTTCTATACGAACCTAAACAATTGTTAAAAAATTAATTATTAAAATTTTTTTAAACAACAAAACACAAAATTTAAAAAAAATGGATATTTTATGTTTCAATAACTATTGTATAACTTTTTTAATTTCGCTTTTTCTTTAATTTCAGAGCTCCATACAGAGCGCATGGGTCTATACTAAAAAAATATTCTTCATCGATTGGTTTCTGACAACTACTGCAAAGGTTAGAACTATGTCAATTGGGATTTTCGAGACCGCGGTGACCGAGAAATATTCCCATAACTTAGCGTATGGTGGTCATATTACAGTTAAACAACATTTGTTTGTAACTTAAAATATGCCTAAAAATACCCCAAAAATCTCAAAATGTTTTGTTATATTCTTAGATGAAAAAAAATTCCCCAAAAACCCTAATTTTTTGCCCGATAAACGGTTTGCTCCATCTTAAACCGTATACATGAGTTAATTGTGTCGGACGCGTTTTCAATGAGGGAAAGTGTTTAAAAGCGGCCGGCAAAACTCGTACTTTGTCGTAATTCTTCTAAACAAAGATTAGAATAAAAAATTTGGAAAATATTAGGTGGACCGTTTTTTTTACATTAAATTCAAAGCGCAGAAACGACAATACTTTCTGGTCTCCCTAATAGTTTGCTTACTATATATTACTATTGCATATACATATATGAAGTGAAATGTGTAAAATATACTGTAAATGGGAAAAATCATAACTTTTAAAGAAATCAATTAAGAAAAACCAAAATCCTGAAAATTGAAGTTAAAACTGAATATGACATATTAAATTATTGAAATTCAATTCTTAATTATGCGTCATCAAAAATCGTAGTTTGTTAGTATATTGAAGCCAATTTTCGTAAATGAAAAAAGCTTTCTTGCTTTGTATTCTACATTTTTATTACTAAAAGTTAGTCATACGTATTATACATATAATGTATTTAATAAAACGAACAATTATACACCGCGCTCCATCATCAGCACAATGCATCATTAAAGTATTCGTTAGAGTACATTGGAGTCGTGGCCGAGCGTTGCGAACAAGCTGATCAGCTGATCAATTAAACAATTTGTGATCGGCTGAAGCACTGATTCACATGAGCAATCATAGGTACGAGGTCGTATATCACGCACCTAAGACTTCCTGACAACAGGGAGCTTCAGTATCCGAGCCTCTTAGCCTTGATGATGCAGACTAAAACGTTTGCGAAACGTCGGCACAAAGTTGAACACGGACACTGCTTCTATCCGGAAACCATGAGTATCAGAAGTGGATTAGTTTGTGTCTGCAAAAAATGCAAAATGTGGAAAGTATTTTTCTTGGCACCAAGACACTGCAGCTGTACAGATTGATGCATTCATGGTCAATTGGAGATACATACATTTTTATGCCTTTCCGCCGTTCTCTCTTATTCTGAAAACTCTCGTAAAAGTCTAAGAAGATAGAGTTACAAGAATTTTGGTATTATCGAATTGGAGGAGTCAATCATGATTTCCTATGTTCTCTTCAGTGCTGGTTGGAGACCCGATTGTATTTAAACCGAGGCCTAATTTGTTATTATCCCCATGTAAGTTGAGGACACATCTGAGGGCGAAACACTTAAGTTTTTTTGGCAGGGATTTTGTCGGGAAAGCGTTTTTAAGCAAAGAAATCCCAAAGGAAGCAGTTGCGATATTATCTTGACGTCTCTAAACGCAGCCACAAGACAATCCGAATCAACTCTAAGGTAGTGGTGGAGATTTTGCCAAAGAAATGAAAAGAAATTTTTTACACCGACTCCAGGGATGATATTACAATTTTTAACTGAAAGATTTAATTCAGGTGCAGCGTATGGCATACTGAATTCATATAGATCTGCAATATCCTTAACATCAGAAGAAAAAATTGGATACCATCCAATAATTACAAGATTTTTAACGGAAGTTTACAGACCTTCCAAATCCGAATATTCTCAGATCTGGGATGTATTTGTATTGTTTTAATATTTTGAAACTTTATACCCCTTGGAAAAATTAACGCTACAACAATTAGCTATAAGTACTGCCCATCGGGCCCAAACTTTAGGATTAATTAAAATTAAGAATATACGTAAGGCACTAAGACCCATTTTCTTCAACGCGGTTCAATGCATAATCTCCGTTTATCTTCGAAATACAAGTCCCTGATTGGCTAATAGCACAGTTAAACCGAGTTTATGCATTGAACCGCATCGAAGAAAAAAGGGCGTATGAGGCTTAGAAATTTAAGTGGATGATTTAATGAAGAGTCTTTCTAGATGGATCAAGTTAGTTTGACAAAATGCTGGAATTGATATTAGCATATTTTCTGCGCATTCAACTAGACATGCATCTACTTCTGCTGCCTATGTTAAGGGCGTAGATTTAAATATATGTAATAAGAAGGACGGCTGGCTGATTAGATTCTTCGAAGATGTTTACACATTTTTGTAATAGATCGATATCAGATGGATATTATAGTTTTGCAATTCAAGTACTGTCATCATAAGATTAGAATGTTTTTTGTCATTTGTTTCTTTGGTTAAATAATATTATTTAGGATAAACTGCTATTATTTTTTGTTGCTTTTAAACGACTACATGGTAATCTTGAAGAACGAGCTATATAATTAGACGAGAAATATAATTAAACGATCAAACGAATTTATCCGAAGTGAATTCGATCGTGATTATATGATGGGCCTCGGTTGATTACAGCCCATCCCAAAAGTATATATTTTTTTACCTAACTTTTAATAAAAGTAAACACAGATCTCGCACTCCGCGCAACCAACGGAGAACATTAGAATGTACGATACAAGATTTCAAATCGAGATATAGGAAATTTGTGAAACATAGGAATTCTAGAAATTGTCAAATTCTGTGTCATGTATATATTGTGACGTATTGTTACGTGATCTAGCCTCGCCGGGAGATGTGAGACGGACCGGCGTACAAGTTACGCGATTCCTTCGCGTCCTAGGCAACCCAGGGCTAACCTATTCTAAACACTAACTAACAATGCTGTTGGGCGCCAGGTTCTCGCGAGGGAACCGCGGGAGACTTGAACTCCCGCATGAGTTTTATATTAATTCAAATTTCGATCATGTCAACTTTCATGGACTAACCCAGTTCGCGGAGGCGGCGGGGAACTTCGAAACAAAGAAAACTTCCAACAAAAATAACACAGTTGCTTTTTGGGTCAACAATAATAAATTCGGTCTTCATTTCCTGCATCAAGTTCTAACGCGACCAAGTATTTACATACTTCCATATTCACACAATTTCATCAATGAATAGCAGACCCAATAAGATTGCAACTAAACCAACGAAGTGATTCACAACTTTAGTTGTTACGCTCAAAAGCGCCAAAAACTTTTGACGTTTTCATTTATAACCAATGTTATAATAAATTACTACGAACAAATTTCGCGATCTATTTTGAGCAGTCAAATTCATCCAATTCAATAAATACGATCGCACACTTGAATACAATTTTGAACATCTCAAAATTCAATAAATACTTTCGAATAAGTCTATACAATTTCCAAGAACATACAATCTCAATACGTGAGTCGATCCTCGAATATTACGGGATCTCATCGCGACACATCAAAACATGACCTCAAGGACCATTTCGTGTCTCGCGGCAACACGTCCCTAATTACAACGCGATACAACACTCAACCATTGCCGAGAAAACCAATCATTAGAACGAATTCATACTCAGATCAGTTAACAATAACGCGAATAAATATGTCTACGATGGGCAACATATTTAGGCGAACACAGTCCCTTGCCGGTCGTCAAAATCTCGTACCCTGGACGAACGCGATTCTAATTGTGGGCACTTTTTTCACGTGCCCGCAGGTATAATCAAAGCGTACAAAACGCGGGGTTTTACGAGGTTTCGTCGCTCACAAAATAACAATCGCTTACCGAAATTTCTACGTCTATTCATTCCGGAAAAATGGCCCTTCAACGTGGCTTCGGACAACGTCCTGATTTTCCTAAGACTTTAACCCCCCCGGAAACTGAAACCGTTTAAAAATACGACTCGCGTGTTTGATAGTCCAGGCAAGAAGACAAATTAGCCTTTTTTTAAAATCGTAATCGCCAGCACAGGATACGATCACACTCTCCCATATCCGCAACCACTTGTAATTGATCCTTCGGCCGCAATCAGGACTCCCCAAAATGGCACCACACGCCAAAGTTCAAAATGTGTCTTCGCAACAATTCGTACAATTCAAAAACAGCGATACCAGGCTGTCCCGCGATGGGCTCCTTCGTCCTACAGGAATCGCAAAGGTTCACCAGGCGTCCCCGGATTCCCAGTTTCCGAGTTTTCCTTCACGGGTTGTCGTGCGTTGTGGGTGCTCCGTAGTTGGTCGGTCTAGACCAGTTCATGTAGCTCGGGTGATATCATGCGTAGAGTTGGTCATAGTCGCGAGATTATTGCTGAGGTGAGCGACAGCGCGCGCAGCTAAGGCCATTTGATGCCCTGACGTCTCTCAGCCTTTTATCCTCCTTCCTCCCACGTCGATGATTCCTCGCTGGTTCTTCTCGAGATTCGGTAAGCCCGCGAATACAATATTCACGGCATGGGACGTAGCAAAAATAAATGAACAGAATCAAAAACAGAACATTCTTAACAGCTTTGGCCCTTGAGGTAATGGGATCTTGCCTGGATTCCTTTCTATATTCGAGTTTTCCCGCGTACAACTACAGTTCCCGCCGAGGACCTGACGGGGTAAAACCTACCACGTCGCAATATGTACCCCCACTGCTCTCACAGAAATGGCGCACTAACATTATCAGAATTTATGAGTTATGCATTTTCGAGGAATCACGCGTTAGCAATATCAGAATTTCAAGCGTATCCATTTTCGTGACAATTTTCGTGACACATCATTTTCCCTGAAATACGACCTAATAAATATCCTAATGTTAAAAACAGCAATTGTTTTTGGCATACTCTAAAATATGACGTAGTGTCGCGTGGGGTGGACGGACGTGTCACCCTTTCTTTCGGAACTCCGAACGGTGTGACATCTAGCGGAGCGTAAGGAAACTATACATGGTAATCTCGAAGATCGAGGCTCATCATATAATCACGATCGAACTTCATATCAGGTAAGTTTTAAATATGCTCTATATACATAGAAAGTTGACGTTGATTTTGAGTTCGAAGACTGGCATAATGAACATAGAAAGTTGACGTTAGTTTTGAGTTCGAAGATTGGCATAATGAACGGAAATTTATATCACGTAATGCACGGACCCGCCAAGTAATACTTAATAAGGAATCACCTAAAGTTTCATTAATTATTAAATGATCATTAAATCATAATTAAATGAGAGGCAGTAGTAATATGAAAGAGTAACGAAAACGTTATAAGATATTTGGAAAATATTATATAATTAAAATAATGGGCCAGTGCTAGAGCATATAATAAGCAGATAAGTAGTAACTTATGTACTTGGCATTAATAATACGATTTCAATACTTTTTGTTAGAGGAATTC